AAATTGGGAGCTCTTACCAATCTGATTGGGCCAGATAGGCTTAGCCCAATCTGACCCAGTGTTGCATAGTCTTGTTTAATTATCATTTGTTTGTTTGATCTGGCACTAAATATTGATTAAATGACATCAGATTGACCAATTTAGATTGATTTAGGATGATTTTGAATTGCTTTGATTGGTTCAAATTTGTTTGACCTAAATTAAATACAATCAATTTCAAATTAAATAAGCTGATTCCAAATCAATTAAATGAGAATGATTTTTTATTACAATCAAGAATTAGAGATAGATTCATTCTAGTTAAAATTCATGTCAGAGCTAATTAATATTTTTTGCCATGAGTGGTGCTTGAAGGATAATTTAAGATGTTTTAATATAATTTTTTTATTATAACTGAGATGATTATATTTTCTTGGCAAATTTTCTTTAATAATCAATAAGCTATTTGACATGATGATTGTATAGTATTTTCATTATTATTGAGAAGTATGCCATCCATTTTGATGGCTGAGAGACACTATTCCATCTGTTGTTGGGAGTATAATATGAGTTTATCTTCGTTTGTTATTGAAGAATATAAACTCATCCCATAGAATAAAGTCTTTTCTTATAATTATATATTTATTTATATATAATTTAGAGTTTGACTTATAGAAGTTTTTGCTTACTATATTATTAAAATTATTTTATTTTTAATTTTTAGAATAATCTCCCTATAATACTATATGATGGAGAGCAAACATTTATCCTTCCTTTCAAAATTGATAGTACTTATGTTTCTCTATGATTAGTTATTTTATTTTTAATAAATAAATTATAATATATATTTATAATTTATGTTTCTCAATAAAGTGATGTGTATATTTGCTCTTGATGTGACATATGAAAAGATATTGTAATCATATTAAAAAAAATCTAGAATGTGACAATAACAATGTATCAAACACAATTCCATGTAGCAAAAGACAAACAGAAATTGTGAGATTGAAAGATTCAAACCAAAACCATTATTGTGGTACAACCACAGCATTCAAACAACATTGATATATCAATGGCCACTGCCTCATTGTACTCTCATGTTAACTCAAATCCTATATCCACCAATCTTGAAAACCCTGTAGTCACAGGACATGGATATGCTTATCCTTCACAAGAACAGAAGTTATTGATGAGAGTTGATAGTGTATTTATGTGAACTAAATCACTAGTTAGGTCTCACAATCTTTCAATTTTGCACCATATTTATTCATCTTGTGTCACAATCTTCCATGAAGTCTAGATTATGATAGTCACATTTGCCAACCTTAGATACTAAGATGTGACTGATGATTTATTAGGTGGTCCTAAATCTTTATGAGTCAAAGGCATGGGTTGAAAGTAGATGAATTTTCTTGTTATTTCTCAAGAAATATCATCCATACTCACATTTATACTCACAGATCAATCAACTTATTTATGATAACCCATGCTTCAAATAAATTCTCCATTCGATCAATTTGATGTCGACAACTAAATTTAATTCAAGTATGGGTATTATCCCAAGAACAGAAGATGTTATTATTGGGACGATAGTTCCCCCACTCAAACAAAACATAATCCAATTAATACTACTCATTCATTCAAGATTTAGTATCTCGACTACTAAATTATTTTTACTTAATTCAATATCTCGAGTGTATACATTTGATTTTATGTTAAATCGTCGATCATTATTTAAAGAAAAAAAAAACTTAAATATGTAGAAAGCAAATGATCAATTATAACCAAATAATCCAAAAAAAACACAGAAGAAAAAGAAGGTTTGCAAGTGCCAAACAAGGAAGCATCACCGAGCTTCGACCACATTAATTCACGTACAGGTGGCTTCACTGCAACGGAGTCTGTGAGCATGCATTAAAGGCCACCATCATAAAGAATGAAGGATCGTCTTCAGGCAGTAGGTGGGAGTGGCCGCCAGCTTTCGGTGGCGATTGAAGGCTTCATTCACCTCTCTTCTTGAACTCAGTTTGGTGCGACTGGAGCACCGAAGTGATGCCCATTAATACGCCACCCGGAGAGCAGGGAACAGTCGCTGTTGGCTTTAATCTAAGACACAGATCAGCGATGGAGATCGCCAAGGTGTGCTTGCATGCAGCACCCAACCTTCCAAAACCGGAAGACTTCATTGCAGCAAGCAGCAGCACCACCAATACGGTGCCTGAACATGCCATCATCTTACCTATGGTTAAAAGCTCAAGCTGATCAGAAACAATAAAGAAAAACTTATGGGGAAAATATCCATCCAGGACAAGATGCGATATGATGAATATTTTTTCTCGAAATAAAAAATATTTATCGATTCAAAGAATATTTTTTCCTTAGTTCTTGTGTCTAGACTATTTCATCTATGACAATACAAGACACCAAGTTATCTTGTGTTTAGACTATTTCATCTATGACAATACAAGACACCAAGTTAAACTCTTTTTATTACTTTCAAATTTTCTAACTTGAACGTCGAAGGAATCTTATCAAGAGACATACTTGAGTACGCGGAGGGACATTGGAGCTCAGTTTTATCTTGAAATTCTCTTGGTCCATAAACCAAGTCGGATTAATCTTTCGTCTTGACATATAATAGTTTTATATTTGATGTTTCCTTTTTAATGTACTGTAACAGTAGATATCACATAAAAACATTACATGTGTACAGCAAGGCATAAGAATACTGCTAAATTAAGGTTAGATCATCTCAAATGAAGAGCAGCAGCACCAACAAAATGGTGACTGAAGAGGCCATCAACAGAAGCTTCAATGGACTTGTGTAACAGTGACAGCACAGAAAGATACAACATGTGTACAATATTAGATCATGTCTAGAATTGGTATGAATTGTAGAAGGATTTCTGTATCATCTTGTAAAGATGGTGAGCTGAGGCAGTCATAGTTGGAGTTGAGTACATGAACAGAGGGAGGGAGGGAGGCATGACAAGTGAAGAATGCTTGGTTGAGTGCTGCTTTTGTTGAATTGCCCAAAATGACAGCCACTTGAATTCCACCTCCTCCTACCCAACCCACTCCTCCTGTCACCACTGCTTTGGCTATTTCTCCTGCTACAAAAATAGATGGAATTGGCATGAGGTACTTACTTGAAGAGAGAGAAAGGAAGAAAGAAGAGTGAGGATGAGTGGTTCTCTTTATTTGACTGTGATCAAGTAACTTCATCTGTTTATTTGAGAGTATTTCTTTCCATGGAGAGATTGAAAGAAAATCTTATGTTCCTGAAAATCAATTTTGATATTAGAATAGAATCACCAAATTTACATTATTAATATAATTTTATGAAGATATTTTGAGTCCAGATTAAGAGTCTACTTAGATAAAGATATCCATATAAAATATATGTACTAGAAATCATTGAAGAAAGATATCTATAGTTTTTATTGTATCAAAATATTACCAAGTGCTTCTCAAAATTATCATTCCTTTGAGATGTTTAGTTTCTATGTCACTCCTTACTCCTTATATGAGTCCTCTCAACTATTTCATCCATAATTTTCTATCATATCATAATACTGCAAAGTGTCTTCTCCAGATTATGCTGCAAAAACCGAAATCAGAATCAATAGTTCCGATTCGATTATGAACTGATTAAAAAAAATAAATTATAAATATGTTCCATGATAATAGTTAGCATTTTAAAATTTGAGTTTGAATCTAGCTAAAGTAATTAATTTTTTTATCAATCAAAACCGAATCGGAATCACTCGGAACCATTTCGATTGTAATTTCAAATATGAAAGAATTAAAATCTACAATTTCGAAACTACGATCAAGAAGACTACTCATAAAAATATTCAATAATTTTGCAACCATTATTTTGGGAGGTGTGGCTGTTCTCCATCAACCTTTCTTATTTCTCACACACTCAACCAAACAATCAACTTAGTTCCTCTCATGTTTCTTCCTTTTGGCTTCTCTCAACCATCCTACCAATCTATTTATGCACTTTGCCTGACAGCATCCTAAAGCAAGCTCTTGATGAAGACAGCAAGTCTTCACCATACCCTTCTTCTTCTTCTTCTTCTTCTTCTTCATCAGGAAACAAAGAATAGAGGAACAGCAGGAGGAAGCATACAGATTGATAGTTTAAATCGATTTACTATTAATCATAAATAGAAAAACTCTAGCATATAATTTCATGTCGGGTCACTGTGGATCTAAAAAACTCAAGATATCGAGAACAAAAATATTTATTATACTTATTATGATCGGATCGGACGAGACCGAATGATCGGATACAAAAAATTTAAAATCTGTTTATTAAATCAGTTTCGTTACAAAAACAAGAATGAAAAAAATGATCGAATCAAATAAAATTCACCTAATTTTGGAATATATGTTCTTATTATTTATTCTAGAAAAATATTTATGCTGATTTTAAATCAGAATTAAAGGGAGAAAGAAACTATCAATCTTCAGAATAAAAATAAAAATTCATATTTCTTGGATATCCGAGTTATGATAATTAAATTTGACAAACTAATTCTTTCATATTATTATCATCTAGACATATATTTAAGTTTATAGTACTTATTCTCCATGATTAAAGTTTCAAATTGATTGATTTATTTTTTTTAAAATATTTATTTTTATAAAATTATAAGATTTAAAATATATTTTGATTGATATGGTCCTCCACAAGTAATTCACCTAACAGTCTAAACTCAAATTCTAATATATTGTTGGCTAAGAACTCTACATCTCTTTTCCATCTCATGGCTACCTTTGTTGAACCATTGCAGCTTACACTGCTCCAATTTTCTTCTTATTTGACATGTTTTAGTGAGAAGAAGACCCCATTTTCGTGTGCTAAAGCTTTCACATGAAGATTTCATATTTGAATGGTAGAAGAGCGTACATAAGGGTAAAATAGTCAATTCATGTGCCAGTTTGCCCGCGTCACCAATTGTGGCTCTATTAAATGCCGCTCGCCGCCCCTTTCTCTCTCCCACTCCTCACAACAAAGGCGAAGAAAGACAGACCGGACGAGCATTGCTCTGTCTCTCTCCCCCTTCTCCGTGCTATCTTCGAGGAAGAAGAAGAGACAAGGAGGGTTGATCCGATGGCTTCTCGGGTGGCCTTACTGCCGGAGTCGTTCCTCTGCTTAGCTCGGTCAAGGAGCAAGAGGAATGCTGTGTCTCCCAGGGTGTCCATGGCCTCCACCATGTTAGCCGCTTTATTCCTCGTGTTCTCTTAACACACTGGATTTGGTGCTTTGTTGCTCGTTGGTGCTCCTTCCCCGATCTTGTGAGAAATGGGTTTGGGTTGGGTGGTTGGTTGTGCCAAGTCTCCATTTTTTTTTACTTTACCCCTGTCCCGATTTGAACCCAGGTTTTTCGATCCGGGTTGCTGCTTTTTGATCCTTTTGCGTTGGAATTGGTGGGAAAGTTGGCAACCCTATGCCTTTCTGTCGTCAAAATGCCATTTTGTTTTCGGTTTCTTCCTCAATAGTCTACCCGCAGTTGTTCCCTTTATATATATTACGTCGATCACTCGTAGATTTGTTTTTCTTAACGAGTTATCCGCACTGCCACCATGTCGCGACTTGGAGTAGATGGCTTTGATTTTGCAAGTTAATGAATTTGTCCTGTCTTCGAAGATTTTTTTCTTGATATTTTTTCTTTTCGGTGAAGTTAAGAGTATCTTGATCTGTTCTTTTGAAAGACGTGTGATGTCTTTCTTTTTTATTCTGCTATAATAATTTTGGAAGAAGTTCTAGATTGGCTTAGGTTGAGTTAATGTGACATACAATTTTAATTAGCCTTGTTGATTGTGATGCATGTGTGGCCTCTCCATCGGGAACGGTTTTTGTGTATTAGCTGCCGGCCTCTTGTGGCTTGTCGTTGGGAATCGATTTGGAGTATATGGTTTCTTTGATATAATTTTTTGGATATGCTTTGTTGTCAAATTGCTTAGTTATGATGTTGGGCCGTTGTCCATGACAACATAATTATAAATTACCTGAAAAGATCTTTTGATGGATCTTATAATCAAGATAACCCTTTTCTTAGTTCACAACTAAGTCTCCTTGCTGTACTGATCTTAACTTACTGGTTACTTAGCAATCTTTGCTAGTCATCTCTGCCTCGATCTGAGCGCCAGAACTCGAGTGAAGCAGATCAGAAACATGGTTTTGCAAGCACTTGTGGAAAGGGCAAAATTTCATTAGACAAGTCCGAATCTTAGGGTAAAATTGCTTGTTAAGTGTGGTGGATCTCAGAGTGCAGGTGTCTGTTTTTGTTCACATGCTAAAACAGTGAAAACTAGCTATTGTAGCATGGGAGGATGAAAAACTTAATGAGGTACCTCCCTTCCTACATGTTTAACTAAATATGCCCGTTTAAAGGGAAGGGACTACAGGGTTATGGCTCCACCAGACTTACTGTCTTTTGACATGGCTTAGAAGCTAAGCTAACTAATAGATTTAAGTGGTAACTTGTTGCAGAATTTGACTTATGCTTGATGGAAGATTTATGTCTGGACAATTCATGTAAAAAGCAAAAGTGGATGTGGGCTAAAGCATTTATTTGCAACGGTTGAACTGGAATTTCTAGAACCCTGTTATATGATGGTGAATAGAGCTATCGGGTATGGGTAAAATACAAGGCCTAACTTGATCATCTTGAAAAATTTATGTCTTTGACTGACATATCTAAGAGCCTATGGTACCATCACTTTGAATTCTTGTCCGTCCCAGGCTTATTCTTTCTTCAGTTCACTTAGCAGTTTAATCAATTTTTATTGGTTTCCTTCGTAGTTGTGGTACAAGATTTGACAAAGTACAGAAAAACAAGATTGCCTTGCCTTGTGGTTAAGGAGAAAGAAAGTTATTGGCTTGTAGAAATTTCTTCATGCATTATGAATTAATTGGTTATAACCTTTAGTGAATTTTGTTTCAAACTGATCAATTAAGATAATACTCATTCTGGAATCCATTGGCATCTTGTGGCATAATTTCTGTTTTACATATTCATGAGAAATGTTACATTTCTCCCGGAAGAATGAATCTACTGGATTTTTTTTTAAATGAGGGAGCTTTTTTTATATTGAACATTTACAGGTATGTGTTTCAGTTGGAAGGGTTGTCTGTCATGGTGAACACCTATTTTTAGAAGTCTATCCATGAATTTTTTTGAACACCTATTTTATAGACAATCCACTAAAGCTGCTCCTACAGTGATAGATCTTTGGATTTAGCAGTTTCTAAGTGCTGTATCCTGCTATTTAATGTTGATGTTGTCATTTTTGGTTGTGCATGCTTTTTTTTGTTTTGGATATCTCATGTACACAATTTTTGCACTATGGCATTTTTTATGGTGTATATTCTACTTCTATTGTTTTGTTGTTATATGATGGTATGCAATCTTTTTAAGAAAAGTTTACCATATTGTTGAGGTGATTTGTCCTCGATTGGTGTTGTTAGCAGTGAGAATTTAGAATAGGAATGTGAACTAAGAATATATTGTTTCTTGAAGTATCTTGTACGGTATTGATTATAGTGGCCAAGAATTCTGTGATGTATTACAGAGTCAAAGCCTTCCTCCCATCTAACCAGAACCTATGGATGCCTTTTCATTTATGAATTAGAAACCACATAACCATTAATGGGGTTAGGTACAAATTGGACTTCTAACTCATATGCATTTGAAGAAACTTTTAACTGGTTTCTAAAAAACTCTTGCAAAATTATGAAGAGAATGAGATACAAATATGCCACCAAGTAAAATAAAGTTTGCTATACCTTTTACAACTCACATATATGTAAAAGCTAGATCTAATCTACACTTGACTATCCCCAACTAAACCTGACCAATAATAATTAACCCATGGCTGCATCGTTCCCTCTCTTTGTCTCTTCACAGATCCCATCCTCAAGATCTTATGATGATGAAGCACATGGTAATTCCAGCTTGATCTCCAAAATCGAAGAACGGATACCAATGCAAAATTTTCTCATAGCTGAATACTCAAGTAGGAGTATACTGGTAAAACAGAGCAAATCTAATTCAATTTGCTCAGTCTCTAGTGATTCTAAGATCTTAGGGTGTAAGTAATGGATCTCCATACCTGAAGTTATATTCATCTGAAGGGATCTTGGTATTTTGTTTTAGGTTGGACTCAACTCCATTTATGAGACCATTATTAGATTATGATGACAAGCATTGATTTTGGGCAATCACATAGCAAACTCTCGAAATGTCATATCTAGCACTACAAAGTTGCAAATATCAGGTGTTAAATTATTTTAGATCTCAGAACCTCAATATACCTTTGTTAACACCCTCCTACTCATCCATGTCTTTCTAATATACCCTATTTTACTTCACACTTTATTCCACGTTGATATCTTTCTGCATTGTGTGGTGGATGAGGGCTTGTTCAATGCTCTCTATCTGTCTATCATTCATTGTCTTCAACAATCTTTTCATGCATCAACGTCGGCAGTCTTGAGCCTTATTTTTCTAGAATTTTAGAACCAAATGAGCGCAAAAGAAAAATACTGGAAGAGGAAAAGAGGTGGACTATAGGAGAAAAAGAGAACTAGTAGAAAAGAACTTAAAGACTAATGGTGCTAGAGAGGGGGGAATGATTATAGAGTGTGGTAAGGCATAATTGGTAATTTGGTTGTTCAGTAGTTAGTTTGGGATGGTTGATTTTTTGTGAAAGGCATTTGGGAAAGTCTCAGAGCTTGTAGGAAACTATATGATATCTTCAACTTTGTTTTGGTAAATACAAAATTAGGTCCACTTCTAGGACACACATGGAATTTTTGCTTAGAATTACATGTATTTGATGATTATGATGATAACTACCTTCAAAAGATCATTTTCAATATTCTTCAATTTTTTTATTAACTGAATTCGCATGGGATGGGATCTGTTGGGTAATGGGATCCAGATTAAAGCTTCAAGCCAACTTGGTCTTTCTTTTCCCTTGTTTCTTGTCTATGAATCCCTTGGACATTCTTGATTCTCCATGTGTAGACAGCATTAGAGTTGTTTCCAACATCAAGAAGTCCTTTGGGTTTGTAAATGCTCTGTTATTCTATATTTCATCTTAAGTCAGTACCATTCTAGAGAAGGATCAGTTGCCACTTTCCGTCAGCAAAGAAGGATCAAAAACATGTAGATGGAAAGGTTCTGGCACTAACTGATGTGTGTCCTGGTGATTTACAGAAGCAAAATGTAATTTATAAAATATATGTGCTTAGCTACATGGAATATCTACTAGCTGTTTGAATTGACAACAGAAGTTATCATTGCAAAAAAGGCGGATTAGAACCTGATTGCCATATCAGGAGCATCTTATAGATTCCACCTTGATGCAAAGAAATATAGTTGATGTGCTTTTCCTTTCTATTAGATTTCATAACTTAATCATGTCTATTCTTTTTCCTTGCCATGAAACAAGACTCTTCTGTAGTGTATTTCTTTATCAATTTCTTCCTTTTTTCATTGCTTATAATGTAAATTAGTTTAATAACATCAATATAATTTTCTTCGAGAGATATTTTTGGTGTTGCTTTTAGATTTTAATCTTCAGTTATTTTATTTGAAAAAAATGGTGCTTTTAGCATTGCCTTCTTCAAGTATTATGATTATTCAGTTGGTAATCCTTGGATTGCTGCAACTGTTCAGTTTTCCTGTTACAGGTTCTATTTTTTCCTCAGTTTTTGTGTATGCTCAGCCAACTCCCAGTTTTATGTGATCCATGAGTCAAATTGTTGACTAATTCTAGTTTAAAACTACAAATGCATTACGGATACACATCTTGATAATGTTAATGATACTTTCATTTATTGGCTATGAATGTAGTCTATGATATTTTTGGCACTGTGATCTGCAGTCAACAATCAATGTGTTTTAAACATTATACTTGTGCATATTGTTCTAGGGTTAAAACTCCAAAAAAGCTATTCGGTCCACGTGAGACACATATTGAAGTCACTCATTCCATGCCACCTCAGAAAATTGAAATTATAAAATCATTAGATGACTGGGTAGAAGATAATATATTGGTGCATCTGAAGCCTGTCGAGAAGTGTTGGCAACCACAGGATTTTCTTCCAGATTTTTCGTCAGAGGCATTCAATGAGGAGGTTATGGAATTGAGAGAGCGCTCTAAGGAGCTCCCTGATGAATATTTTGTTTGCTTGGTTGGAGATATGATTACTGAAGAAGCTGTTCCTACATACCAAACAATGCTAAACACCAGCGATGGTGTCAGAGATGAAACAGGAGCAAGTCTTACTCCTTGGGCTCTCTGGATAAGGGCTTGGACTGCTGAAGAGAACAGACATGGAGATCTTCTCAACAAGTATCTATACCTGTCTGGAAGAGTTGACATGAAACAAATTGAGAAGACAATTCAGTATCTCATTGGCTCAGGAATGGTAGGGTTTCTTCTCACTGATGTTGCTTTAGCCTTGAATCATTTAGTAGAATCTTCAAGATGGTTGGTAAGGGTGCATTCCTCACCTCCAAAGGCTTCAGCTGCCACATGATCCTATCCTAGGACATGACTCGAGATTATTGCCTACTGCATATTTCACACATTAACAGTGTGCATGTGAATTAAAATCCTGGCTTTGCAGTTGATTCTCAGGCATAAAATCATATTCAAAATGAGCAATTGCAACAGTAAACATCAAAACTAATTTTTGAGTCCCATATATATCTAGATGTGGCTCCATCTTTATTATAGTTTTGGAAACTCCCCGACAGTCCACTTTTGAGCCCCATGATATCTGGAGATGAGGCCTTCCACCATAGTGATTACAGGGAAAGAGAAAACAGGAATGGTATATTTGGTGCAGTTTAGTGGAAAATTGGGACCTTTTGCTGGTCAAACCCTTAATGATATATGTGCTATTTTGTTCGGTATCGTTTATCCATCCTAAATCATTGCGACTTATATAATTTAGCTCTTATCTTAGATTGAGTTTTGGGTCCTTTTCTTGTTATTTCTTTCTTGTAAACTGCTTTCTATTTTAAAAAATACATTGTCTATGTCGAGGAGTTGAGCAGTAAAGGCATTTGCCTCCATCACCTACTCAATCTGCTTTTGTCTGATTCTAGTGTTCTGTTGTAATTTCTTCAGGATTTGAAAGTGTGTTGCATTTGCAGGATCCCAGGACAGAGAACAATCCCTATCTTGGTTTTATTTATACCTCATTTCAGGAGAGGGCTACCTTCATTTCCCATGGGAATACTGCCAGGCTTGCTAAAGATCATGGGGATCTCAATCTGGCCCAGATATGTGGAACAATTGCATCTGACGAGAAGCGCCATGAGACTGCATACACCAAGGTAGTGGAGAAATTGTTTGAGGTAGACCCAGATTACACTGTTCTGGCATTTGCTGACATGATGAGGAAGAAGATCACAATGCCAGCTCATCTGATGTATGATGGCCGTGATGATAACCTTTTTGAGCACTTCTCAGCAGTTGCTCAACGGCTGGGTGTTTACACAGCCAAGGACTATGCAGACATACTGGAGTTCCTTGTTGCAAGGTGGAAGGTCGGTGAGCTAGCAGGTCTCTCTGGGGAAGGAAATAAAGCCCAGGATTTTGTCTGCACATTAGCTCCAAAGATTAGACAGCTCGATGAAAGAGCTCGAGGGAGAGCCAAGAAAGCACCTGCTATGCCTTTCAGTTGGATCTACAACAGGGAAGTGCAGCTCTGAGCATCAAACAATATATTATGGTTTTGTTGTTTATGCAAGCAGTCATCCTTTCTTTGCCATTGGTTTGCTATTCATAAAAGAAGTTCCATGCTTTGTTTTTCTTCTGTTCAAGTATTGTATGAGTCATGATGGGGGCTGTAGATACTCCTCACGCCATCGTAAATATCATCATATAAGCAGGTGCTTGATTCATGTCTGTTGTGTTTTTCTTTTTCATGGACAAGTTCTGTTGTTTATCATAGTTGGATAGTCTATGCATATGGGAACATAGCCTTTGTTCTTTTCGTGTGTGCTCGTTGATTTAGAATTTCTGTCATTTGGATTCTCTATATGCATCTAGACACATTTTTTACCAATTGCAACTACCATTCACTATCTAGATTTTAATCAATCCTACATGTCATGACTTCATGACTGAATGATGTGGTGCATGCAGCGACTGGCAGCTCATCTCAGCCGACCTCAGTAAATTCTGCTAGAATTTGTGCCAGTCAGAACCATCTCACTTTTCAATTGTTTGCTTTTGTTATATCAGCACCACAATGTGTTATGTAATTCTGTACAAGCATCTTAAATTATTGCAAGCACATCAATTTCCAAAAGATTGCTTTTGTTTGATTGTCACTAGTTTGGTGCATTGATGACCAGTCTAATTAAAGCCACTGCTTGAATCTTTTAAACATCTGGCTATTAGTGGTCTGAAGCTTCTAACATGATTGCTAAGTTTCAGCAAAGCATATTGCAATCTTATAAGTCACATATGATGCTTCTGTGCTATCTGTTAATCCTCTTTACTGTTAGTCTTATTTAAATGCTATAGCTTTTGTTATTGTCTTTTACCAGCTAGTTTCTACAAAATTCCTACTTGACTATTTTATCAACTTATGTGAGGTTTTGGATGGAGGGCAGACCTCCATTCCCACCAACTTGTTTTGGAAGAACTTGCTGCAAGAAGTTAAAGGATATATTCTTACCCTGTATATGTTGGGCTCAATCAAATGCTTTTGACATGCATTGCAGATTCTTATTAATGTCCTTAGAAGTTATTATTGTTAGGAATCAACATTACCTGTCATAACCGAAAAGTCCTATAAAATAAATCTAGATACATTATTATGAGTTTTCTGCATTCTATTACCTGAATCTTATAGAGGAATCATAAGTAGCTATATTTTTCTATTTGGATTGGAGGATCATAAAAAACTTGTTTGTCCATATTCTTGGAGTTCATTGCAAGAAATGTTTCTGAAGTTTATATACTTTATAGGACATCTGAACTTACCTGATACATTGGTTATGACAGGTTTGCCGTCATAGCCAAACTTCAGCAACCATTTAGCTTTCTGAAATCATCACTCTTGTGTTGTCTAGTAGTCTAAGACATGCATTTCATAGGAAATGTTGCAAGCTGCTTAAAGTAATCCTGCTTTCATTGAGTTCATCCTCCTTGTGCTATTTCCTTGATTAGCAAATTGCCATTATTGCTTCACCCTGCAGAGTAGCAGCACAATGCATCTTTACTGTAAACAACAGGTTGAATGGCCACTGGTTATGTTTCTTAGAATGCTTCAAGAGGTGGGAAATGCCTTGTATTCCAGCTTACCCCAATCAATTCTCATTTGGCTTCATCACTTGCTAAGATTGAGATATCATAACATGAGATGTAATTTTCCATTGTGATATCTTCTCAGTACAACTCAGTTTGATTCTGTGTCTTTTCATTTACTTGATCTGAGGAACATACAAGATGTAACAAATACCAAAGAGGATTGTGATTTCATTACATGAGGTTCAATTTACATATGATCACTTGTATCTATGATAAGGTTGTTGAAGACTCCTCACATATACATATTGTAATGTCTATTGATGTTTTGCATTAGTTTCTAAATATCACCACAATATTAAGGTGTCTATAAAAACTTTAATAGTATATGGTAAGATTCTGAGTTCAAATCTCCCTTTTTATCACTTTCTTTTTGTAAACTTAAGAAAAACTCATCATAATATAGAAAAGCAAAATAAAATATTCATTTTATTATGATCATGAATGCTGTTAGGTGCTGCCATGAGAATGTTGATGTCTAACTAGTAAAGGAAAAAAATGTTTTGGGTAAGCATAATCTGGGATGAAATCTAACTCCTTAAATATAACCAGAAGTTTGAAGTCTCTCTCTCTTTTGCATAATTATAGTAGATAATTATATTCTAATTGTTATAGTAGATAATTATGTTAAGAGAATAAGTTCTAATTGTTATACCTACAATAACATCTCTAAATAAATAATCAGAGCTCTGCCAAATATATTAGGAGATAAGAGCAGATAAATGCAAATGCCCAATCTTATAATTCATTAGCCCTTACAATCCTTCACCAGTTACAATTTTTTTGATTTCCTTTATAACACACCAACTAATTTTATATCGAAAATAATTGATTCTAAAATTGAATCTGATGAGTATACTATTATCAATCTCAATTTAAATATTTTAATATGTAAGTGAATTAAATTATAATATTATTATCATTTTTGACTTAAATATTTTGATCGATGATTTAAATCAGTTAAAATTGATACATCAATTAACTTAAGTTGTCCAATAATCTTTCACTCGGTTCGATCAATCCATACGATCCTCCACGAGTAACTCAAGGTTTGATTATACGACTCCATTATTTTTCTTATTTAACATGTTTTAGTGAGAAAAAAACTCTATTTTCGTGTGCTATTCTCTTTTTACAGTCCTATCTTCATAATTTATAAAGAAAAAAAAAAAAGGGACTTAACTATTGAAATTGTAAAGCAATGAAAATTTCCACATGCAGATTTAATATTTGAATGGTAGAGGAGCGGACAGAAGGGTGAAATCGTCAATTCATGTGCCATTTTGCCCACGTCACCAATTGGGGCTCTATTAAATACCTCTCGCCTTCTCTCTCTCTCTGTCTCTCTCTCTCTCACTCGGCGCGACAAAGGCGAAGAAAGAGAGACCAGTGGAGCAGAGCTCATGCCAACTTGGTCTTTCTTTTCCCTTGTTTCTTGTCTATGAATCCCTTTGACATTCTTGATTCTCCATGTGTAGACAGCATTAGGGTTGTTTCCAACATCAAGAAGTCCTTTGTGTTTGTAAATGCTCTGTCATTCTATATTTCATCTTAAGTTGGTACCATTCTAGAGAAGGATCAGTTGCCACTTTCCGTCAGCAAAGAAGGATCAAAAGCATGTAGATGGGAAGGTTCTGATACTAACTGATGTCTCTCCTGGTGATTTACAGAAGCAAAATGTAATTTATAAAAAATATGTGCTTAGCTACATGGAATATCTACTAGTTGTTTGAATCGACAACAGAAGTTATCATTGCAAAAAAAGGCAGATTAGAACCTGATTGCCAAATCAGGAGCATCTTATAGATTCCACCTTGATGTCTTTCTAATATACCCTATTTTTCTTCACACTTTATTCCTCATTGATATCTTTCTCCATTGTGTGGTGTATGAGGGCTTATTCAATGCTCTCTATCTGTCTATCATTCATTGTCTTCAACAATTGTTTCCTGCATCAACTTGGCCACTCGAGCCTTATTTTTCCTGAATTTTAGAACCGAATGAGTGCAAAAGAAAAATACTAAAAGAGGAACAGAGGTGGACCATAGGAGAAAAAGAGAACTAGTAGAAGAGATCTTAAAGACTAAAAGTGCTAGAGAGGGGGAATGATTATAGGGTAAGGTAAGTCATAATTGTTAATTTGGTTGATCAGCAGTTAGTTTGGGTTGGTTGATTTTTTGTGAAAGGCATTTGGGAAAGTCTCAGAGCTTGTAGGAAACTATATGATATCTTCAACTTTGTTTTGGTAAATACAAAATTAGGTCCACTTCTAGGACACACATGGAATTTTTGCTCCAACATCAAGAAGACCTTTGTGTTTGTAAATGCGCTGTCATTTTTCTATTTCATCTAAAGTTCCTACCATTCTAGAGAACGATCAGTTGCCACTTTTCCGTCAGCAAAGAAGGATCAAAACTCACCTCAGCAAAGAAAGATCAAAACTCAAAATCATGTAGATGGGACAGTTCTGACACTAACTGATGTGTCTCCTGGTGATTTACAGAAGCAAAATCTAATTAATTTATCAAATATATGTGCTTAGCAACATGGAATATCTACTAGCTGTCTGAATTGACAACAGAAGTTATCATTAGAAAAAAGGCTGATTAGAACCTCAATGCCATATCAGGAGCATCTTATAGATTCAACATTGATGCAAAGAAAAATAGTTGATGAGCTTTCCCTTTCTATTAGAATTCATAACTTAATCATGTATATTCTTTTTCCTTGCCATGAAACAAGACTCTTCTGTAGTGTATTTCTTTATCAATTTCTTCTTTTCTTTATTATTCATACATGTAGATTAGTTTAAGAACATCAATATAATTTTCTTGGACAGATATTTTTGGTGTTGCAATTAGATTTTAATCTTCAGTTATTTTATTTGAAAAAAATGGTGCTTTTGAGCATTGCCTTCTTCAAGTATTCTGATTATTCAGTTGGTAATTCTTGGATTGCTGCAACTGTTCTGTTTTCTTGTTACAGCCTCAGTTTTTGGGTATGCTTATCCAACTCCCAGTTTTATGTGATCCACAAGTCAAATTGTTGACTAATTCTAGTTTAAATCTACAAATGCATTATGGATACACATCTTGATAATGTTAATGATACTTTCATTTATTGGCTGTGAATGTAGTCTATGATATTTTTGGCACTGTGATCTGCAGTCAACAATCAATGTGTTTTAAACATTATACTTGTGTGTATTGTTCTAGGGTTAAAACTCCAAAAAAGCTATTCGGTCCACATGAGACACATATTGAAGTCACTCACTCCATGCCACCTCAGAAAATTGAAATTTTCAAATCACTAGAGGACTGGGCAAAAGATAATTTATGGGTCCATCCGAGGCCTGTTGAGAAGTGTTGGCAACCACAGGATTTTCTTCCAGATTCTTCATCAGAGGGATTCTATGAGGAGGTTATGGACCTGAGAGAGTGGTCTAAGGAGCTCCCTGATGATTTTTTTGTTTGCTTGATAGGAGATATGATTACTGAAGAAAATGTTCCTACATACCAAACAATCATAAACACCAACGACAGTGTCAGAGTTCTGTTTCTAGTGTCAGAGTCATAAACAGCAGCCTACTCAATGTGCTTTTGTCTGATTCTAGTGTTCTGTTGTAAGTTCTTCAGGATTTGAAGGAGTGTTACATTTGCAGGATTCCAGGACAGAGAA